TGTGTGTGTGTGTGTGTGTGTGTGTGTGTGTGTGTGTGTGTGTGTGTTGACCTTTGTCCCTTGGGCGGTTCCTACTCCAGGCCCTACTCAGAGTTGGTTCCTGGAAGTTTCTGGGAGAGGCTGGAAGCAGGCCTTTGTTCCACTGGTGTGGGTAAGTGGTGGTGTGATGCAACCCCATTTCAAGGTCCATCATTCTGCTATAACCCTAAGCCACTGTGTGCCGGGATGCTACCCATCTGACCTTGCCTAAGGCAGACAGAGAGGGAATGGTAGTGTGCCAAGTCTGAAAGACTGACCTCTAACGTTCCTACCAGAGTCTGTACTACACTTTTAGGTATTAGGGAGTCTAGTGTATAAGTATATATAGTATATAACTACTTGGAGCTACCTTTTATTCTTTGAGTGGTACCTGGCCTATGTGCTTACTCAGTTCATACTCTACCACTTGAGTCATGCCTCCAGCCCTGCTTTTTGCTGGTTATTTTGGAGACAGGGTCTCATAAGCTTTTCTGTCCAGGCTGACCTTGAACTGCTGTCCTCCAGATTGCAGGCTCATGAGTAGCTAGTATTATAGGTGCAAGCCCCTGGTTCCTGGTTTGGGCCACATTTTGATCCCACTTTTAATGACAGTCAACAGACTGAATTAGAATACCGCTCTTGTCTCCTAACATGGTCAGTAAGGACTCGGAAAATAAATTGCATCTTTCAGAAATTTAAGTATCATAGCTGAAACAAAAATACAATCAAAGGTGTTATCTAACATTATGCAGTACCTTTACATGGCTTCCCAGTAATGTTTGTAGTGGCACAGAAGAAAAGCAAACTGGGGCTGGTGGAATGGCCAAGTGCTTGAGTGCCCATCTAGCAAGCACAAAGACCCAAGTTCAAACACTCAGGTTAACAACAACAACAAAGAGTGGCCAAGATATAAAACAAAAATATTAAATATCATGCATTCACACTAGTATTCAAAGATGGGTTTTCTCTGTAAAGTACTACTTTCTAAAACTTACTCCTTTGCTGGGTGCCAGTGGCTCATGCCTGTAATCCTAGCTACTACTCAGGAGGCCTTAGGATCTCAGTTCCAAGCCAGCTCAGGCAGGAACGTCCCTGAAATTCTTATCTCCAAATTAACTTCCAAAAAAGTGTCTGAGGCTCAGGTGATAAGAGTTCTATCCTTGAGCAATAAAGCTCAGGGATAGTGCTCAGGCCCTGAGTTCAAGCCCAAGGACCACACACACACACACACTGGTTTATTTCAGGCATCACGCTTGCCCTTCATTTCTGCTTGATTCAGAATGAATGTGTGTACCTCTGAGGAAGTTTTTTATAGAATATTTTAAACTAGCCCATGTAATTGTAACTCTTCTGTACGGTATCCTCACAATAAAAAAAAAAAGAATACTTTAAACTAGATACATGGCCAGGTGCACAAAGGGCCAAGCACACATGCCCACTGAGGCCTCCCTGAACATAACCACCACGACCACCCGCTGCTGTTGCCCTCTGACTGAGGCTCAACTGTATTTTTCAATCTATATCCTCCATGCCCCATCCTCGCCATGGTAAACATTGCTTTATCTTCTGATTCATTCCATTTGACCTCTTTTAAAAATATTCCCCACATATAAGTGACTCCAAATGAGGTTTTTCTGTGTTTATGTCTGGTTGACTTCACTTAGCATAATGTCCTCCTGGCCTATTCCTATCACAATTTCCTTTTTGTTGTTGTTTTTGTCAGTCCTTGGGCTTGAACACAGAACTGGACTTCTTTCACTAGAGTCTAGCCATTGTACTACTTTGAGACACAGCGCCACTTCTGGTTTTCTGATCACTAATTGGAGATAAGAGTCTCACGGACTTTCCTGCCCAGGCTGGCTTTGAACCATGATCCTCAGATCTCAGCCTCCTGAGTAGCTAGGATTATAGGTGTGAGCTACCACATGTGGCTGGATTTAGGTTAGAAACTCACTATGTAGTTAGTTGGCCTGGGACTCACTCAGCTTCTTGAGTGGTGGGATAGTTTGTATAACCAGCTAGCCTCCTTTCAAAACACTGAATAAAACTGGGTGTGGGTGGCTCACACCTATAATCCTAGCTACTCAGAAGGCTGAGGTCTGAGGATCATGGTTCAAAGCCAGCCCAGGCAGGAACATCTGTGAGACTCTTATCTCCAATTAACCACCAGAAAACTGGAAGTGGTGCTGTGGTAGAATGCTCACCTTAAGCTGAAGAGCTGAGGGACAGTGCCCAGGTCCAGAGTTTAAACCCCATGACTGATTAATTAATTAATTAATATTCTACTGTGTGTGTGTGTGTGTGTGTGTGTGTTAGTCTGTAGATAGGAACTTGGGTGATTTCATACCTTGGCTATTCATCATATTGCTTCCATGAATGGGGTAGCAGGATGCTGTGGAGTTTATCTTAAACTCCACATCAACTACCTGGAGTTTCCCTTTCTTTGCAACCTCCAAACCAGTCCCTCCTCCATGGATCAGCACAGCCCTAAGGGCAAGCCTTTAAAATCTTGCTCTGCTTTTTTTTACCTTTTCACTTCAAGTCTACTTTTCAAATAGCAACAATGTTTAAAATGTAACCTATGTTCATAATCACTAAAACATGGTTAAAAATAATGCCAAGTCCAGATTTCACGCCAACATTCATGCATCGTATGGGTATTCTGGAATCTGATGCATTTACAAGACTTTTTCCCTTTGTAATTGCAAACTCACAGATGCACGGGGAGACTAGCCCATCAGTGATTCCACAATGCTGCTGAAACATGTAAGACAAGCATGAAATCTACAACTAAGCCACCCCCTCTGTTGTTGGGGGCCAGAGGCGGGAGGGGAAGGAAGGTGGGGAGGTGAGCAGGAAAGAAGGCTACTCCAGGCAGGGCTGTAAAACTGCCCGAGGCTGGGGAGCAGGAGCATGATCTCCACCCTCAGTGTCTTGGACGCCTGTCTGGCCCTGGGTCCAAAGATCTTGTGCTGTTCAAACATAACTGAGGACCACATCTAGTTTCCAGTAAACATAAAGGGGAAGAAGTGTGGACAAACTTGAGAAGAAATAAAAGAAGTGAGGGAGGAGGGGAGCGGAATGACTGCCTGTGAACACTTCCCCTTCCCCGCAGATCACTTCCTCCTTCCCAGCACTCCTCTAGCCTGTCCAGCTCGGGGTGGGGGGCTTCTCCAGTCAAGCTCTCGGGGAGGGGGGGGGGGGGGGGGGGGGGGCAGGGAGGCAGCAATGCTCTCTGCTGGGCTCTGCGTCAGTGATCGTCCTTCTCTTCTCTCTTTCTCCTTCTCTTTCTCTCTTCTCTTTGTTTCTTGCTGGTCCTTGAACTCAAGGGCCCAAGTGCTAACTTTGAGCTTTTTTGCTCAAGGTAAGGCTCTACCACGTGAGCTGTAGCTCCACTTCTGGTTTGGGGATAGTCAGTTGGAGGTAAGAGTCTCATGGACTTGCCCTATCTGGGCTGGCTTAGAATCAATCCTCAGATCTCAAGAGCTGGGATTACAGGCATGAGCCACCAGTTGCTTGCTTGTTTTGGAGTAAGCAGCTGGTCCTGAGAAATGGTCAGAATCCTAAGAGCCTCTGGTCTAGATTCTTGCGACATTGGGGGCAGCTGACTAAGATGGATGAGCAGCTGGGGAGAGGAGCGCAATGGAGATGGGAGGCATTACAGTGACAGGGGCTGTCTCCCCAGGCCCCAGAAGACAGTCAGCATCTGAGCTCCAGGGCAAGCAATGCGCGGGTCTCTGTGGGAGACTCTGAAGGGCCTGATACCCAGTGTGCTGACTAAGCTTCAGATGCCTCTTTGTGTGTGTGTGTGTGTCCCATTTCCACTGGCCCTTGTCCACACTGGCTCATCAGAAACACCTAGCAACAAAAGGGAAGAGAAAGGGAGAGGAAAACAGGTACTTAAGAGGCCTGAGGGGAGAGACTGTGGGGTAAAGGGTCCTCGGCACTGACTCACAGGTAATAATACTAGCTTAGGATAGGCCCCAACTGGGCTGGGAAGGTGGCTCAGTAGTAGAGCGCTTGCCTTGCATGCCTGAGGCCCTGGGTTCCATTCCTCAGCACCACATAAGCAAAAAGAAAAAAGCCGGAAGTGGCGCTGTGGCTCAAGTGGTAGAGTGAAAGCCTTGAGCTGAAGAGCTGAGGGACAGTGCCCAGGCCCAGAGTTCAGGCCCACGACCGGACCCCCCCCCAAAAAAAGGATAGACCCCAACTGTCTAGGTATAAATATGAAGTGGTTTCTATTTTCCTGTTCCTTTAGAGACCACAGTTCAAAACCCAGTGTGTGAAGATTTGACTGAACTTTTTTTTTTTTGGTCCATCATGGGTCTTGAACTCTGGACCTGGGTCCAGAGCTTCTTTGCTTTTCTGGCTTTTTCTCAGTAGTTTATTGGAGATAAGAATCTCAAGGACTCCCTCAACCTCCCTCCCTAACCTCCCTCCCTTCCTATGCCCATGCCCCCCATCCCTGGCTTCCAACCCTGATCCTCAGATCTCAGCCTCCTGAGTAGCTAGGATTACAGGTGTAAGCCACTGGCGTCCAGCAGCCCTGGATTTTTAAAAAAATTTTTATGGGCTAGTCCTGGGGCTTAAACTCAGGGCCTGGGCACTGTCCCTGAGCTTCTTTTGCTCTAGGCTAGCACTCTACCACTTGAGCCACAGTGCCACTTTCTGTTTATGTGGTACTGAGGAATCAACATAGGGCTTCAAGCATGCAAGGCAAGCACTCAGCCATTAAGCCACATTGCTTCCCAACCCCAGCCCTACATTTTTTAAAGCATAAATAAATGAAGGCTCCAAAGCTCAACACCTGACGGTTCTATGGGACCTAAGGGGAATTTCATCCAAGGGTGGGACAGAATGAATGAAGAGTTTGAGTGTAAAGTGATAATTGTGGCAGGATGCTGGTGGCTCACACCTGTAATCCTAGCTACCCAAGAAGCTGAGATCTGAGGACCACAGTTCAAAGCTAGACTGGGCAGAAGAGGCTGTGAGACTCTTATCTCTAATCAGCCAGCAAAAAGCCAGAAGTGGCGCTGTGGCTCAAGTGGTGGAGCACCAGCCTTAAGTAAAAAAGGCAAATGAGAGCATGAGTCCCTGAATTCAAGTCCTAGACCAATTCTCTCTCTTTCTCTCTGTCACACACAAATAAATAAAGGGACATAAACTGAAGGTATAGCTTAGCAGTTAAGAGTATTTATCTAGCACGTGCAAAACCCCAAGTTCAACCCCAAGTACCACAAAAATGGTGACAGTTGATTGAACAAATAATTGCAGCTTCGTTACTATACCTGGACTTTCTAGCTACTAAGGATTCAAATGTTTTCAAGATCCTTGGACGTGAGTTCTGAGGCACATTGACGTCTTTGTATGATGTGTCTGTTTTTTTTGCTGGATTCCCATAAGTAATGTGGGCCTTGGCTCAGGCTTTGCAACATTATTAAAAGTAAAATTCTGGAATATCTTCTTCACAGTGTTTCATTGTTTCTACTTAGTGAGCCCAAAGGTCTGTTCTATCACACTCTACTGGGGGCTGACCACTCAGACTTTCATCAAGGGCTTCAGCAGCAGCAACTGCCCTCTCATTGTTGCAACCACAGCCACCGGGGAGCCTCAGTCCCTGGGAGCCCCTGTGCCCAGGGGCCCTACCTCCCAAGAGCAGAGACCCCGCCCTCCTTCCCCCTGCTCAGTGAGCAGACATAGAACCAGACAGAGACAGTGGAGTGCAGTGCAGCTGGCCGGCCATCGGCTAGCTCCACTAACCCCCTCCAACTAGTTCCTCTCGTATCCATTTCTTCTATTAAGGATTGAATAGTAATGCCTGAATATTTCATGTGTTAAGGATATTAACCAGGTCATCCTGGTAGAGAATATTTTTTCATGGTTTATCACTTGATTTTGTTTGTGTGGGGGTGGGGAGGGCGGTTCATTTGGTCATGGGGCCTGAACTCTGGGCCTGGGCGCTGTCCCTCAGCTCTTTAGCTCAAGGCCAGCGCTCTACCACTTGAGCCACAGCACCACTTCTGTTTTTCTGGTGCTTAATTGGAGATAAGAATTTCACAGCTTGGGGGCTGGGAAGGTGGCTCAGTGGTAGAGCGCTTGCCTTGCATGCATGAGGCCCTGGGTTCCATTCCTCAGCACCCCATAAGCAAAAAGAAAAGAGCCGGAAGTGGGGCTGTGGCTCAAGTGGTAGAGCGCTAGCCTTGAGCTGAAGAGCTGAGGGACAGCGCCCAGACCCAGAGTTCAGGCCCCATGACCGGACCCCCCCCCCCAAAAAAAAAAGAGTTTCACTGACTTTCCTGACCAGGCTGGCTTTGAACCTCGATCTCAGATCTCAGCCTCCTGAGTAGCTAAGATTACAGGTGTGAGCCACTGGCACCCGGCTTGCTTTTTTTTTTTTTTTTAATATGTCAGGAAGTATCAGATAGTCACCAAAACATTAACAATGGATTTATCTAGGAGGTGACATTACACATGAACTGTTTTAGCTATTACTTTAATTTCTGTAGTACTTTGCTTTTTGTTTGTTTGGGGGGGGGTAGTACTGAGGTTTGAACTAAGAGCCTCTCACTTGCAAGTGTTCTACCACTAACGCCATGTCTAAACCCATTTTGCTTTTGTGAGTTTTAGAATAAGGTCTTGCGTTTAGCCTGGGCCAGACCAGATTGTAACCCTTTTTTTTTTTTTTTTTGGGTCCGGTCATGGGGCTTGAACTCTGGGCTTGGGCACTGTCCCTCAGCTCTTCAGCTCAAGGCTAGCACTCTACCACTTTAGCCACAGCGCCACTTCCAGCTTTTTTTCTTTTTTTGCTTATGTGGTGCTGAGGAATAGAACCCAGGGCCTCCAGCATGCAAGGCAAGCTCTCTACTACTGAGCCAGCTTCCCAGCCCAGATTGTAACCCTTTTATTTATGCTTCCTGTTTAGCCAAATGATCAACACAGCTACCACACTCAGCTTTCTATTGATTAAGAAGGAGTCTGACTTTTTATTTGGGCTGGCCTCAAATCTCCATCCTCTGGATCTCTGCCTCCCACCCAGTAGCTAGGATTACAGGTGTGAGCTACCATGCCCAGTTAGTGCTTTATAACCAGATTGAAAAAATAACTCCTGTGAAGCAGGTGGACATGGCAGGGTGCTGTGGGATCTGCCCGCACTCCCCAGCGAGCTACCTGTGCTCCTGTGAGCCACCAGCATTCTTGAGTGAGCTACCTGCATTCTGCTCCATGCTTTCCTTGACACCTTCTAAGAGTTCCTGAGCATCTTCCACGTTCTCCTCCTCTTCTTCCTCTTCACCTTCTTCTTCTCCCTCTCCTGGGTCCTTAGGTGCAATGATGGACTCCTATATTAAAATTGGAGAGTGTTTTGCATTGATTCACTACTCACTGATCATCTGACCAGAGATCCTAGGGGAAGTCTGGTGCCCAAATCCAGAATGTACCCAATATCAGTCATCAGGAGGCAAGTCTGCAGGATGTGCATATCTACAAAGATGGATGGTAGCCTCAACGGTTTTCTTTTCCTTTTTTGGTACTCAGGTTTAAACTCCAGGCCTTGCACTTGCTCAGTTTTGTTAGGCTGATGCTCTATCACTTGAGCCCATGACTCTAGTCAGGCTTTTTGCTGGTTAAGCAGAGGCACAGTCTGCAGACTTTTCTGCCCAGGCTGGCTTCAAGCCACAGTCCTCTATGTCCCAATATCCTGAGAAGGTAGATTACAGGAGTGAGCCACTAGCCTGGCTAGCAAGCCACTACCTCTGCTTGTAGGAGAAAAATATACTTCTATGCAAATGCTAGAAGTTTGCTAAGACACTAGGTTGTATCTCACTTAGGAAACACATTTAGTAGAAACAAATCAAATTTCTACACACTTTATTGAAATCAATTTTGGGGTATGGCTCAGTGGTAGAGCTCATGCTTAACCATTGTGTGTCCAATCCACATACACAGAAAAAGAGACAATACTTCTTTATAGAAATGTTCCTCAGTATCTACCATTCCCAGCAAAATAGTACAAAGCAGTGAACAGTGTATCATCCTGAGAAACAAGATAACAACAATATGATAATTTTGAAAAACTGAAAACATTCTCGTCAACAGAGATAAGATGAGATATCTTTTTTTTGGGGGGGGGTCCAGTCGTGGGGCCTGAACTCTGGGCCTGGGCGCTGTCCCTCAGCTCTTCAGTTCAAGGCTAGCACTCTACCACTTGAGCCACAACGCCACTTCCGGCTTTTTTCTTTTTGCTTATGTGGTACTGGAATCAAACCCAGGGCCTCAGGCATGCAAGCCACCATCCCAGTCCAAGACGAGATATCTTTTGAGTGAGAGCTGCAGGCAGACCAAAATTCAAGGACAAGCTGGGAAAGACTCATCCACGACCCGGGAGAAAGCCCATGGGGTTCTTCTGGGTGTTCATAACCAGTGGACAACAACAAAATCCAACTCAAATAACCAAAGGAATCTTTGGCATAATTATTCTAATGCCTGTATATTACACGACTTAGAAAAGCATTTTGTAAATATGAAAAGAATCCCCAGTGAACTTGCAGTGTTACCAGCTTGGCTATGGCTTCGGCAATCACTTCCTTTACTCGGATGTGAGGCACTTTGTAGTATTTGGACAGCTCTTGGGCAACTGTGGTCTTTCCTACAGCAAGAGGACCAAGAATACAAATCTTGATTGGCTGAAAAAAGAAAAAGGAACTTGGTGTGAGCTCTGCACATTCCATCGCTAGACAGGGGTGTTTCCCAGCCATGGAGGGGTCTGCTTCAAAGTCCCAGCACTCATGTGCTGGTTCAAGTTCATTTCATTCAACAGGAATTTTTTTTCTTCTGGTTGTGGGGCTTGAACTCACACTGTCCCTGAGCTCTTTTTCTCATGTCTAGAGCAAGCTACCACTTTGAGCCTCAGAGCCACTTCTGATTTTCTGGTGGTTCATTGGAGATAAAAGTCTCATGGAATTTTCTGCCCAGGCTGACTCTGAATTTTGATCCTCAGATCTCAGCCTCCTGAGTAGGTAGGATTTTACAGGCGTGAGCCACTGGCTCTATGCTTGTTCGTCAATCTTTTTTTAAAAAAGAATACCTATAGCTGGGCACTATTGGCTCACATCTATAATTCTAGCTATTCAGAAGGGTGAGATCTGAGGATCATGGTTCAAAGGTCATGAGAGATTCTTACCTCCAATTAACCAGCAGATAAGCTGGAAGTGGCAGAGTACCAGCCTTAAGCAAAGAATCCAAGTGAGACTAAGAGGTCTTGAGTTCAAGCCCATTCCTGGCAGTTTCCTTCCTGACTACCCACTCCCATATACACATCCAGCTCTACCCAGCTCTGAAACTGGCTGTCCAGAGAGGCACCTGCAATTTCTTTTTTTTTGGGGGGGGGGGTCCGGTCGTGGGTCCTGAACTCTGGGCCTGGGCACTGTCCCTCAGCTTTTCAGCTCAAGGCTAGCGCTCTACCACTTGAGCCACAGCCCCACTTCCGGCTCTTTTCTTTTTGCTTATGTGGTGCTGAGGAATCGAACCCAGGGCTTCAGGCATGCAAGGCAAGCGCTCTATCACTGAGCCACCTTCCCAGCCCCTACAATTTCTTATATGTCTATTACAGTCAGCCTTGAGCTTACTACCATGTTCAGTGTGCCTAAGTTCTCATGGATACTTAATGCAAAGCTGTAATGTTTTGTGGTTAGTATGATAACTAGAACTGACCACAAGCTGTCAAACTTGAACATGAACTTGAAATGAAACAGGCTTACACCTGTAATCCTAGCTATCCAAAAGACTGAGGTTTTGTTTGTTTCTTTGCTTGTTTTTTGCCAGTCCTGGGGCTTGTGAACTCAGGGCCTTGGCACTGACCCTGAGCTTCTTTTTGCTAAAGGCTAGTGCTCTACCACTTGAGCCACAGTGCCACTTCCTGCTTTTTCTGCTTACGTGGTACTACGGAATTGAACTCAGGGCTTCATGCATGCTAGCAAGTACTCTACCACAGAGCTACATTCACTGGCCCAAGAGGCTGAGATTTGAGGATCATGATTTGAAGCCAGCCTAGACTTGAAACTACTTGAGACTCTTATCTCCAATTAAGTGCCAAAAAGCTGGAAGTAGAGCTATGGCTCAAATGGTAGAGTATCAACCTTGAGCAAGAAATCTCAGGGACAACACTCAATTGTACCTGAGTTCAAGCCCTAGCACAGACACCAAAAAAAACCCAAACCTTGAAGTAAGAAAGTTCAATGTTCAATGTTTGTTCAATGTTTGAAAAAGATAAGAACCTTCATTAGTTCAAATAACCCAACACTAAATGTCATTAACTTTGGATCTGAACGTGAAATAGGAGACAGTCATAGTTACCAGTAAGCCTCTGCTTTGCTTGTACTCTTTGAGGATGTTGTTGATGTTTTCTACAAATCCTGTTTGGGCAACCCACCGGATGTTAAAATTCTCCTTCACGTATAGCGCTTCCATTCTCAAGTTCACCAGCAACTGGTCAAGATGCTCTTGCTGAAAGTCATGGGCAGATTACAAAAAAAAAAAAAAAAAAAACAAAGAGTCAGTCACTGGTGGCTCACATCTGTAATGCTAGCTACTCAAGAGGCTGAGATCTGAGGATTATGGTTCACATCCAGCCAGGGCAGGAAAGTCCATGAGACTCTTATCTCCAATAAACCACTAGAAAACCAGAAGTGGCATTGTGGCTTAAGTGGTAGAGTGCTAGCCTTGAGCTTTAGAGCTCAGGGACAGTGCCCAGGCCCTGAGTTCAAGCCCCAGGGCTGGCAAAAGAAAAAAGTAACAATCCAGGGCTGGGAAAGTGGCTCAGTGGTAGAGCGCTTGCCTTGCATGCATGAGGCCCTGGGTTCGATTCCTCAGCACCACATAAGCAAAAAGAAAAAAAGCTGGAAGTGGTGCTGTGGTTCAAGTGGTAGAGCACTAGCCTTGAGCTGAAGAGCTGAGGGACAGCGCCCAAGCCCAGAGTTCAGTCCCCACGACCGGAACCCCCCCCCCAAAAAAGTAACAATCCATCAAGAAGATATAACAATTATAAATGTGTACAAAATGAATATTTGCACACCGATGTTCATAAAACAACACTATGTGACATAAGGGCCTAGATAGACCCCAATGTAACTATCATCCCCTAAAAGTCCTAAGGACAAAAAAATAATCAACAAAACACTTCACAATTCAATGACATTGCACATCAAATAGACTTAACAGAAGTGTTTAGAATCTACTATGTAAAACCTACAAAACATACAGCCTTTTTTAGCTGCCCACAGAAATTTCTGTAAAATAGGGCTGGGACTGTGGCTCAATGGTAGAGTGCTTGCCTAGCATGCATGAAGCCCTGGGCTCTATTCCTCAGTACCACAATACACAGAAAAAGCTGGAAGGGGGTGCTGTGGCTCAAATGGTAGAGTGCTAGCCTTGAGCAAAAGAATATCAGGGACAGTGCCCAGGCCCTGACTGGCAAAAAAAAAAAAAAGAAAAGAAAAGAAAAAGAAAGAAAGAAAAAGAAATTTCTCTAAAATAGATCATGTTTGAGTGCATGAAACAAGCTTAAAAATCATAAGAAAATTGAAATAAATTCTTATATTTTATTAGATCATAAAGAAAGAAAACTACAAGTTAGCCATAAAAGAAACTACAGAAAGTCCACACATATATACGGATGCTGAACAATATACTTTGTATGATCATCAAAGAATTAAAAGAGAAATTTTTTAAATTCCTAGAATTAGGTGAATATAAAAATAGAACATACAAGGCCCTATAGAATAAAATGAAAGTGGGTCTAATGTAGTTTATAGCTGTAAATGACTGCATTAAACAAACAAGAACAAAGGAGTTTTTTCAAATACCCTGGGAGAACTTCAAGATGTTGAAAACTCCAATATTTTGAATAGTAACTACTTTAATGTCGTCCAGCGGTTCAAACCCCGAAGAAAAAACTAAGTGGAGGGAGAATTGTTCCTTCTGGCCCTCAAACTCCCCTAACCAGTTCTTCCCCCTCCAGTACCAATAATATCTAGAAAATAATATTTAGAAAAACAAAATTTTAAATACAATTTCTTTTTTTTAACATTTATTATTATTAATCTTTAAGTACTTGTACAAAGAAGTTCCCATTCCACAAAACAGTTAAATACAATTTCTTCATACTAACTGTAAGCTCCTTGCTTAGGAAGGCGCTCTCTTTAGACATTTTCTGAATTTTCCCAGGGCCAGTATGTTTGCTGATGCACTGTTCAAAAAAAAAACAACAGAGATTATTTGATTTACTTGTAACATTTTATTTAAAAAAAACTTCTTACATGATTATGAGCATAGCTAAATACAGATAAATAAAAGCACTTTCAAAACAGACAGTAGGCCAGGCACCAATAGCTCATGCCTGTAATTCTAGCTACTCAGTTGGCTGAGATCTGAGGATCATGGTTCAAAGCCAGCCCAGGCAGGAAAGTCCATGAGACTCCTACCTCCTATTAACCACCAGAAAACTGGAAATGGAATTGTGGCTCAAAGCGGTAGAGTACTAGCCATAAGCAAAAGAGCTTAAGGATAGTGCCTAGGCCCTGAGTGCAAGCCCCACTACAGATAAAAAAAGAAAAAAACAGAAGGTAATGTGCAAAGAATATTTATTTATTTGTCTATTCTGAAAGTATATGGAAGACAGAGACAAGTAAGGAGCTCCCAGCAGAAGGGAGACAAACATAACTGGTCTGTGGAATATCGGAAGTCCCAGAAAAGGGAGTCGTCCTGGTATTGTTAAATAAGATTTTAAGGAGCCCATTGTCTGGGATTGAGCTCCAGAGCTCCAGACTAGACCAAAATGGGGTCACTCCTGCTTAATGCCATGGGATAAGAGCAAAACTTAATGAAACAGCTTTCTATGAGCCCAGCTAATTCCATAACTGTAACTTAGGGCAAATGTCTTGAGATGCCATGAATGCCTAGGCGGAAACACGCCACAGTACCTTGATGAAGTCTTCCAGCGTATGCACAGACTCATCCACAGCAACCAGGTAGTGAACCTTTGGTATGTGGTCTATCACGTTTTGTAACACTCTGCAGACCAACAGGTAAATTAGTCACAGGCAAGTAATAAATGGGACCCCCCCACCCCAATCTCTATAGTAGAACTTTAAGAAGTCATCTGATGGGCTAGGAATGTGGCTTAGTGGTAGAGTGCTTGCCTAGCATGCATGAAGCCCTGGGTTGGATTCCTTTACATAAACAGAAAAAGCTGGAAGTGGTGCTATGGCTCAAGTGGTAGAGTGCTAGTCTTGAGCAAATGAAGCTCAGGGACAGTGCACAGGACTTGCGTTCAAGCCCCAGGACTGGCAAAATAAATAAATAAATAAAAATAAAAGTCATCTGACTTAATGCCAGACAAGGTCAAGGTCAAGCTCAGGGCAAGGGTGGGGTAGAGGTGTTGGGGGGGGAGGGTAGAGGAGGAAGGATCCTTCTGGGCACTCTGGGGAGGGAAGATTAAGAGTTAAGTGACTTCACAAAGGTGTGAAGGTTAAGCAACTTTTCTCTGGGTGTGGAGCTACTGGGAAAGGGGAGGCCCCAGCCTCTTGGCCCATCAGTCCTGTTTTCCTGTTCCGAAGCCCCTCTCCACTAACTATGCTTGGGGTAGGCATTTTACAAAGACAGAGATTCAGAAAAGACATGGCCTTCTTTAAGGGAGCCATCAGGCACATGGGGTACACAGGGATGGAGGGCAGGCCTGACCAGGCAGGACGCAAGGGAAGGTTTCATGTCTACTTTCCCACTTATTTCTCACTCCGGCCCTACCAGATGGCTATCCCCACCTTATAACTGAGAATCACACACCGGGAAGGAATGGAGCCTTCCCACAGAGCAACGATTTGAACACGAGCAGTCTGTAGCATACTAAAGTAGAATCCATAGTGAAAAGAAGTCTTCTCTGATGGCCTGCTAAGTCCCCTCATGGCCCCCACACTCTTAGCTTCCAAAATGCATACCGCACATGTCTATTTCAGGGCCTGGGGTCTAAGCAGCATCGGCTTAGCTTTGGGTTGAAGGCCCAGCATTGAAAATATTATTGTTCTTGTTATTAATAATCAGTGTTTGTTCCACATTTATTTCATATTAATTTCCCAAAATGCTTTAACTTTTGGCTTCTTCCTCTGTTAAATAATTGATAGTTTTCAAAGAGAACTGAAGAAAGAAAGAAAATGTTATTGAAAAGAACTGGGTGCCAGTGACTCATGCCTGTAATCCTAGCTACTCCAGAGGCTGAGATCTCTGAAGATGGTGTTTTAAACAGCTTTCTTTCTTTCTTTCTTTCTTTCTTTCTTTCTTTTGTCAGTCATGGGGCTTGAACTCTAGGCCTGGACCCTGTCCCTGAGCTCTTCAGCTCAAGGCTAGCACTCTACCACTTAAGCTACAGGGCCACTTTTGGCCTTTTCTGTTTATGTGGTGCTGAGGAATTGAACCCAGGGCTTCATGTATGCAAGGCAAGCACTCTACCACGGAGGCACCTTCCCAGCCCCTAGGATGGCGGCATTTTGAAGCCAGCTGGGGCAGGAAAGTCTGTGAGAGTCTTATCTCTAATTAACTATCAAAAAACCGGTAAGTGGAGCTGTGGCTCAAAGTGGTAGAGCACTAATTTGAGCCTAAAAGCTCAAGGTCAGCATTCAGGCCCTGAACTCCAGCCCAATAACCAGCAAAAAAATTAAAAATTAAAAACAAGGGGCTGAGAAGGTGGCTCAGTGGTAGAGTGCTTGCCTTGCATCCATGAGGCCCTGGGTTCGATTCCTCAGCACCACATAAGCAAAAAAAGCTGGAAGTGGTGCTGTGGCTCAAGTGGTAGAGCACTAGCCTTGAGCTGAAGAGCTGAGGGACAGTGCCCAGGCCCAGAGTTCAGGCACCATGACTGGCAAAAAAAAAAAAAAAAATTAAAAACAATTACCAAAAGTAAAATAAAGTGTCAGGGACGTGGCTCTAACAGTATAGTACCTGGCTTGCAAGCAAAAGGACTTAAGTTCAAACCCCAACATTTAAAAAACAAAGTAAAAGAGTCTCATATTTGAAACCTGTAACATAAAGGAAATCTCTGCCAATAACCAGGGCACATTCTGGTCACTTCATTCTCAGAGTTCCTGTTGGCTTAGGATCTAGGTATCTGATTTTTTCAGCTTGGTTTGTGATCCTCCTGTTTCAGCCTGCTGAGAGCTGGGATTGCAGGCATGTACCACCATGTCCAGCCAGATCTATGTTTTGTAAGGCATGAAATTTATGAAAGTCCTGGGACTCCCTTCCTTTGGAAAGCCCTAAAGTGTAAGTTTTGTTTGTTTACTGGTAACTCTGTCAGAGTGGTGGCCAGTGGAAGCAGGCAAGGGCAGATCCTGGCCTGCCTGTGGATAAGCCTGGGGTAGGACAGTGAACCAGGGTCTCCTGAACCCTGCAATTCAGAGTTGACTCACTGTGACACCGGGAGCCTGCTCACTGATCTAGGGCTTAAGCCAGGCTCTCGGGGTTTCTCTGGGCACAGGATCTGGGGACTCAGTGTTACGCTGAAGTTCTCTGAAGAAGCCACAACTGTATGGAGGATCTCGCAGAACAGGACCTGTCCAGAGGACAAACTCCCACTTGTGGGGGGACCAAAGGAGGCAGGCCTACAGCCAGTTATCTTGCGCTATCTTAGGTCCTTAGGAAACCTTGGTATCTGACAAACAGACTCCTGACTCTTAGGTAAAGCTTTTGGAATGTGTTATTGTGTTGAGCTGACCTCTAGCTGCCCACCACCCTGAAGCTAAGAATGCTAGAAGATTAAATCTGGAACCTTCTAGCCTCTTGCTGTTGGCTTATGCCTGTCATCCTAGTTACTCAGAAGGCTGAGATCTGAGGATTGAGGTTCGAAGCCAGCCCAGGCAGGAAAGGCTATGACATTCTTTATCTCCCCAGTTAACCAGCAAAAAGCTGAAAGGAAGCTGGGCACCAGTGGCTCATGCCTGTCATCCTAGCTACTCAGGAGTCTGAGAGCTGAGAATCGCGGTTCAAAGCCAGCCCAGGCAGGAAAGTCCGTGAGACTCTTATCTCCAATAAACCACTCAAAAAACTGGAAGTGGCGCTGTGGCTCAAGCGGTAGAGTGCTTGCCTTGAGCTGAAGAGCGCAGGGACAGCACCCAGGCCCAGAGTTCAAGCCCCACGACCGACCAAAAAAAGAAAAGAAAAGAAAAAGAAAGAAAGAAAAGTTGTGAGACTCTTCTCTCCAATAAACCACCAGAAAACCAGAAGTGGTGCTATGGCTCAAGTGGTAGAGTGCTAGCCTTGAGCTGAAGAGCTGAGGGACAGGACCCAGGCCAAGAGTTCAAGTCCCATGACTGACAAAAAAAAAAAAACAAAAAATCAACAACTAAAAGGAGAGGTATGGCTCAAGTGGTAGAGCACAAGCCTTGAGTGGAAAAGTGCATTCAAGCCCCACTGGGGGGAAAAAAGACCACATCTAACTATAGAAAGTATTTCCCAGCTCCGCCATGACCACAACCCTAACACCTCCGCCAGTACCCTGCAGAGCGAGGTGGTTCATGATTGTCTTTCTTGAGTCTGTAAAAGCTTATGCAACCTCTTCTTTGTCAGGGTGTGTCATTCCTGGGCCATAGGGTTCACTTTTACTCCAGGATAACTTACCTTTTTACAAAAGAATTCCTGAAAAGGAAAGTTAGTTACCTCTGTAATCCCAGTACTTAAGCTGGAGGGCTTCCCAGGCTGCAGGCAGACCTTGTCTCAAAAGAAAAGTTTCTGCTAAGCATTGGTGCTTCACCTAAGGTCAGCCTCAGGCCAAGCTCGCAGGGTGCAGACACCTCCCTACCTCTTGGCTAAATTTCCACCCAGTATCTGTGTTACCTAGGTAACTGGCCCACCTGGAAGCAGTCACCTCCTCCTCTGTAGGTCACATCCTGGGTCATCTCTGACCACGCCTCCCACCTGACCGTAGGAGGGCTCCAGATCCAATATGGCCACACCTTTCCCACACCTGGCCCACCTCTTCCTGTCTCTGGTCTAGATAAGTCCCAGCCTGGGGGGCGGTTTTCTCCTTTCTTGTCCAGGCCTCTCCACCTTACACAGTGGGTAGCAGAAGTTAGTTCATGGCGGCCCTGCGTGCTGTTCTCTTCATCGGCTACCTAATGAAACATACCTATTTAATATACCTTACAGTTCACACCTGTAATCCTAGCTGCTCAGGAGACTGAGATATAAACCGGGTGCTCATAGCTCACACCTGTAATCCTACCTACTCAGGAGGCTGAGATCTGAGGATCATAGTTCAAAGCCATCTGGGGCAAGAAAGTCCATGAGAGTCTTATCTCCGATTAGCCACCAGAAAATTGGAAGTGGCGCAGGGGCTCAAGTGGTAGAGCACTAGCATTGAGGTATAAAGCTCAGGGACAGTACCCAGGCCCAGAGTTCAAGCCCTGTGACTGACAAAAAAAAAAAGAGACTAAAGGTACGAGGACCCTGATTTGAAGCCAGCCTGGGCAGGAAAGACTGTGAAACTCTGATCTCCAATAAACTACCAAAGACCAAGAAGTGGAGCTGTGGTTCTGTGGTATAGTGCTAGCTTTGAGCAGAAAAAAGCTCAGGAACAGCACCCAGGCCCTGAGTTCAAGCCCCAGGACACAAAAAAAGATTTCATGGAACTGGTGGCAACTGGAGGTATGGCTCAAATGGTGGAGCACCAGCAAAACCCCAAGAGAGAGCACAAGGTGAGGCCTTGAGTTCAAGTCCCAGTACAAAAACAATAATTAAAAATGCTCCAGATTCAGTTGACTGGTTCCTAGAATGTGGTGGGTGCACATTACAAGGGAAAAGAAATTCTGTGAGCAAAATGTTCATACCTAGTACCGAGTTCCTTCTTTTCTGGAATTGTTTGCCTAGAGTTTGAGTTTCTAAGAGATGAACCTAAACTTGTCATCAGAAGTGTGATGCTTCATGAAGATGTACACTATTCCACGATGCACACACAGGCAACAGGTAACGCTCCCTTCAGTGGAGGGTTGTTGTGAAGTAGAAAGACACAATATCTGGGGGTGGGGGTCTTAGCATGGGGTTCAAGGAATGTTAGGGGACAATCATCCAGGACCTTCCCATCTCCCAGAGAAGGCTTACCCTGCTAGATCAAGAACATGAATGGCTGGGATTACATTTGTTCCATCTCCAAAAACAGGCAGGGCAGGAATCTCACCTAGCCAGGCCATCTAAAAGAAAGAAAAGTTCCCTGAATGACGCACTCGGACACTGAAGACATTGCATGAGTTTTTACAGCCTCAGAAGAAAGAAAATCACAGATTAATACACCCAACAAACATACTGGTGGCTGTGTTAGAGATGTGGCCAAAGACGCTGGTGGCTCACGCCTGAATCCCAGCTACTCAGGAGGCTGAGATCTGAGGATCGCGGTTCAAAGCCAGCCCGGGCAGGAGAGACCGTGAGACTCCTATCTCCAATAAACCACCAGAAAACCGGAAGTGGCACTGTAGCTCAAGTGGTAGAGCGCTCGCCTTGAGCTGAAGAGCTGAGGGACAGCGCCCAGGCCCAGAGTTCAAGTCCCACGACCGACAAAAAAAAAAAAAAAAAGAGAGAGAGGTGGCCAAAGAATAACAAGATTTCATGGACATCATAGACAGAGAGCCGTTGAAAACAAAAGAGAAGGGGCTTCTTCAGCTTGTCTTCTTCAGATGTCATAGTCTCAGTGCTGAAAAATGAATTCACTGAAGTCCCAACACTGGGAGGAAGAGACAGGAGGACTGCATGCAAGTCTAAGGCCTGGCAAGGTACGCAGTAGGATCCCGTCTCCAAAACCTGCTCAAAACAATCTGCGTTTGGCAAGGGGGATAAAGGGGGGGCACAGAAATGGAGGGACAAAGGGTGAACAAATGCAGCAATGGTACTCACTGGACACTATGTTGAAAATGAGTATACAACTTGTGGGCTGGGATGGGAGAGAAAAACCAGGAGAGTGTGAAGAAAGGGATGACATTGTCTAAAAATAAATGTACTCTTTACCTGACATATATATAATTTTGTGTGTGTGTGTGTGTGTGTGTGTGTGTGTGTGTGTGTGTGTGTCAGTCATAGGGCTTGAACTCTGGGCCTGGGCACTGTCCCTCAGCTCTTCAGTTCAAGGCTAACCACAGTGCCACTTCCAGTTTTTCTGGTGGTTTATTGGAGATAAGAGTCTTATGAACTTTCCTGCCTTGGCTGGCTTTGACCACGATTCTCAGATCTCAGCTTCCTGAGTAGCTAAGGTTACAGGCGTGAGCCACCAGCACCGGGCTCAACAATATTTTCTTTATTTTTTTTTTTATTTTTTTTTTGCTGGTCATAGGGCCTGAACCCTGGGCCTGGGTGCTGTCCCTCAGCTCTTCAGCTCAAGGCTAGCGCTCTACCACTTGAGCCACAACACCTCTTCTGACTTTTTCTGCTTATGTGGTGCTGAGGAATTGAACCCAGGGCCTCAGGCATGCAAGGCAAGCGCTCTACCACTGAGCCACCTTCCCAGTACCAACAATAATTTTTTTTGGGGGGGGGGTCTGGTCATGGGGTCTGAACTCTGGGCCTGGGTGCTGTCCCTCAGCTCTTCAGCTCAAGGCTAGCGCTCTACCACTTGAGCCACAGCGCCACTTTCGGCTTTTTTCTTTTTGCTTATGTGGTGGTGAGGAAATGAACCCAGGGCCTCATGCATGCAAGGCAAGTGCTCTACCACTGAGCCACCTTCCCAGCCCCCCAGCAATAATTTTTTAAAAAGAACAAAAAATAAAAAGAACAAAACAATCTAGTAATTTCCTGTCTATACTTTCCCCCTTTTCTCTCCTTCTCTATACCCCTCAACAGCAAACTTCCTTGAATTATTCCTGTTCTCCCTTTTCAGTTCCTCTCTATCTGTCCCACTTGAACTCCTGTCTGTCCCCCCAAATCCAGCCATTAGTTCTCAGAACTTACTTTACGTCATTACCTGTAGCATTTTTCACAACTGCTCACATTTGTTCTTGTCTTCTCCTTTCCCCTCCCCTCCCCCCCTTCCCTTCTCCCTCCCTCCTTCCTCCCTCCTTCCCATCCTCCCTTCCTTCCTTCCTTCTTGTCTCTTTCTTTTTGCTGGTCCTGAGGCTTGAACTCTGGGCCTGGGCACTGCCCCTGAGCTCTTCTACTCAAGGCTAACACTCTATCACTTGAGCCACAAAGCTACTTCCAGCCTTTTCTGAGTAGTTTATTGGAGACAAGAGTCTCATGGACTTTCCTGCCAGGTCTTGCTTCAAACCACAATCCTCAGATCTCAGCCTCCTAAGTAGTTAGGATTACAGGCATGAGCCACCAGTGCCTGGCCACATCCTTTCTTTCTAGAAACATTTAACTTGGCCTTTGTAAGAGCCTTTCATGTGTCTGTTCTTACTTCTTGGGCACCCCTGCTCAGCCTCCTTTCCTGGTTCTCTCCAGCCTCCTGGCCAGATGTGAAGAATGACAACTCTGTATTCCGACCTTATATTGTCTCCTATTTTTTGTGAGTTTTTGTTTTGTTTTGTGCCAGTTCTGGGACTTGAACTTAGGGCCAAAGCTAGTGCTCTACCACTTGAGCTACAGCTCCACTTTCAGCTTTTTCTTTTGGTACTTCATTGGAGACAAGAGTCTCACAGACTTTCCTGCCTGGGCTGGTTTTGAACCACAATCCTCAGATGTTAGCCTCCCTAGTAGCTAGGATTGCAGGTGTGAGCCATCAGCAATGGGCCCTCCCCATTCTTGTTAGCTATAACCCATCCTCAGCCTCATCCCTGCCAGGATGCACCTTCTCAGATCTGAGATACTTAGTATTCATTTCTTATCTCTAGCTCCTTCTCCACCCACTAGAGTATCAGCTCTACCAGGGCAGGGACTATCCTCAGCATCTGCCACTGCTTCTGGAACATGGTAGGCACCCAGTCATCTTTTGTCTTAAAAGTGGGGGTGGAGACATTTGTTCCTAGAGTGTGAAAACAAGCTCTTGAGAAGGGAAAGAAAGGTGGTGGTTCTAGTCCATGTGCACACACACACACACACACACACATATGTGTATATATATATATATATATATATACACACACATATATATAGTGCATATACTGAACTATATATAGTGTTATTCTGAACTAACCACATCTAGAAGCAATTGGAAAGACATTCAAATGGCAAATCCTTACTGTGAAACAATTTATTTACTTATTCAAATTGTATTGTTTTGTGCTGGTCCTGAGGCTTGAACTCAGGGCTTGGGCACTGTTCCTGAGTTTTTGTGCTCAAGGCTAGTGCTCTACCACTTGAAGCCACAGCTGGACTTCTGTCTTTTTGCTGGTTAATTGGACTTTCTTGCCTGGGCTGGCTTTGAACCATGATCCTCAGATCTCAGCCTACTGAGTAGCTAGGATTCTAGACATAAGCTATGGGTTCCTAGTACGTATTTATTTATTTATTTATTTAGAGATAGGGTCTCATTTTGCTCCCCAGATTGGCCTTAAACATGCAATCTTCTTACCTAAGCTTCCTGAGGGCTGGGATTACAGGTGTATACCACTATACCTATCTTGAAAATTACTATGCATAATCATCAAAATGTTATACCTTAAAAAAGTTGTGTAAGATGCCTCCTTCCACTCCATACTGAAGTCCTGAAGCAATCACATACGTTGCAAATTTCTTCATCTATTAAATAAAATACAGATAATAGCTAAATGTAATATTACTAATCATACTGAACTTGACTGTTTCAGTAGGTAAAATGATCACTGTCGGAAGTCTCACCAACTCCTTCAGGCTTCTTGGGTATTGTTTATGATACAGATTGTACCTCTAAGGGGGTCCAACCACTCTCTATACTCTTTAGGGGTTCCTAGGGCTTTAACTGAAAACAAAGAATTCATTTTGTCCCAGACCAGGACTCAAACTCAGTATCTGATGCTTTCACTCATTGGCTGATGATCGACTACTGAGCCTCACCTCAACCTCTGAAAACTTTAAGGCGATGTGAAAGTTCATTAGAAAGTCCAATGCCCTTTCCATTCCACCATGTAGCCGACTGTAAAAGTGTATTAGAAGAAAAATATGACAGAGATGGGCTGGGAGGTTGGCTCAGTGGTAGAGGGCTTGCCTTGTATGCACGAGGCCCTGGGTTTGATTCCTCAGCACCACATAAGCAGAAAAAAGCCAGAAGTGGTGCTGTGGCTCAAGTGGTAGAGTGCTATCCTTGAGCTGAAATGCTGACAGACAGCGCCCAGGCCCAGAGTTCAGCCCCCATGATGACAAAAAAAGAAAGAAAAGAAAAGAAAAGTATGACAGAGGAAGCAAGTATGTGGCCTAGGCATGCCCATGTGCTCACATGGAAGCCAGCACTTCAGCCATCTCCGCCATCTTGGTCAGCTTGGGGTAAATAGTAACACTGGAGTCCTTGAAAATGGTTTTCATCTGGCACCGGTTGCTCAAGCCTGTAATCTTAGCTACTCAGAAGGCTGAGAACTGAGGATCAGGGTTCAAAGCCAGACTGGGCAGGAAAGTGTGTGAGACTTTTTTTTTGCTGGTCCTGGGGCTTGAACTCAGGCCCTTAGCCTCTTTGTGCTCAAGGCTAACACTGAACTACTTGACCACTTATGTCTTTTTTTCTGAGTAGTTTATTGGAGATAAGAGTCTCATGGACTTTCCTGCCCAGGCTGGCTTTCACCTGTGATCTTCACATCTCAGCCTCTTGAGTAGCTAGGATTACAGGCATGAGCCACTGGAGCCCAGCCCTCCCACGTTTTTTTTTTTTTTTTTTTTTTGAGACAGAATCTGACTACTTTGCCAGGCTAAACTCAAATTCACAATCCTCCTGCCTCCTGCCTCAGCTTGGGGAGTGCTGGGATTGTGGGCAGGAAGCACTACACCCAGCTCAATGTTGTTTTCTTTGGGAATGTTATACTTGCAATGCTTGTATTCCATGGCCAAAGACAATGTGTTTTTTCAGTGGGGGCAGAACAGGACCTTTCTGTTCCTTTTGTAATATCCCTGGAGGCCAGCAGGTGTCACCTTAGAACTACTAATTACACACCACTTAAGGCTGCTCTCCCACTAATGGGAGAAATGTAATGAAACCTTTGGAGATTTGGGGTTCTAGACAAGTTAGATGGAGAGGAAGACAGTGGAATGGAGACACCGCAGTAAGGCGTTTACCATATTTCTGGGCACACAGTTGTGCAAACCCTCAATAATTATACTCTTTATTATTATTATTAGCAAGGCATTCACTTACAACACTTTTTTATTTATGCATTTATGTGTGTATGTATGTGTGTATATATGTATGTATGTATGGTATGTATGTATATATTTTTTGTTGGTAATGGGGGACTGGACACTGTCTCTGAGCTCTTTTTGCTCAAGGTTAGCACTCTACCACATTGAGCCACAGAGCTACTTCTGGTTTTCTGGTGGCAAATTGGAGATAAAAGTCTTATGCACGCCAGGTGCTGGTGGCTCATGCCTGTCATCCTAGCTACTCAGGAGGCTGAGATCTGAGGATCACGATTCAAAGGCAGCCTGGGAAGGAAAGTCTGTAAAACTCTTATCTCCAATAAACCACTAGAAAACTGGAAGTGGCACTGTGGCTCAAGTAGTAGAGCGCTCGCCTTGAGCTGAGGAATGCAGGGACAGCGCCCAAGCCCAGAGTTAAGCCCTGTGACTGACAGACAAAAAAAAAAAAAGTCTCATGAACTTTTCTGTCCTTGCTGGTTTTGAACCTCCATCTTCAGATCTCAGCCTCCTGAGTAGCTAGGATTACAGGTGTGAGCCACCAGCACCTGGCAACATATCACTTACTTAATTTGTACATGTGTGTATGTGTGTATGTGTTATTCGCTCACTTTATTCTAAATGCAAATTCTGTATCAGTTACTTCAAAGTCTGACTGCCTCAGTGATAACTTGTCACAAGTTCTATTTATAATGGTATCAGAATTCTAGCAATTCTGATAGCTGATATGGCTGGGTAGGGTGGTACATGTCTATAATCCCAGCCATTCAAGAGGTGGAGATAGGAGGATCACAGTCCAAGGCAAGCCCCAGTTGAAAAGTGTCCATCATTTATTTTGATATAAAATTTTATAGTGAGCATGTATGAAAGGGGTCAATTTTGCTGTCATAGAAGCCTAATATGCTATTCTCTATTATTCTTCACATGAGCTCAGCTACAGATATCTTAAGAACCAGTGCCTATTCTATGGAATGATGGAGTTGAAGTCAGGAAAACAAAACAAAACCCAGAGGCTTTGGTGTGTGGTGGATTTTGGTTTAAACCAAGGCTCTACCATATGGCGCCTTTCCTGCTCCACACGGGGCAGCGATGTGCACAGACAATCCATGCTGGGAGGACTGCATAGATAAGGCCCAGAAGCCCCACTTCCATGGGCCTGAGCAAATGAATCTCTGAAACCTTCTGTCTTCTGTCTGAGGTTGTATGTACTGAGCTGTTTTAAGAAAACAATGAGAGGGGCTGGGAAGGTGGCTCAGTGGTAGAGTGCTTGCCTTGCATTCATGAGGCCCTGGGTTCAATTCCTCAGCACCACATAAGCAGAAAAAGCCAGAAGTGGCACTGTGGCTCAAGTGGTAGAGCACTGGCCTTGAACTGAAGAGCTCAGGGACAGTGGCTAGACCCAGAGTTCAAGCCCCATGACTGACAAAAAAAAAAAAAAAGAAATAAAGAAAAAGAAAGAGAAAACAATGAGCTATTCTGGAAACGGGTGAATGTGGTCCCTCCTTTCCCCTGCAGCTCTGAGTTGTCTCTTCTGGATCATGCCACTCACAAGAGGCACAGATCCATTGAGGGCTGAGGGACTAGCTCAGCTGGGGACCTGATATGGTTGGCTAGACCAGAATCTGGGTCACAACCCTTCAGGAGCGCATCTTAGGGCAAATGTGAAACAGAGACCTGTGGATGTAAATACAGGGAACTCAGACAGATGTGGAAGGAGATGCAGTAATGGCTGTAAAGCCAGGTGCAGTTCTACCCCTCAAACAGTCCTTACAAAAGGGGAAGAGTTACACTGCAGACTAGGGTTCAGTGGAAGTGGACCAGGATAAACAGCCCCCACTGGAGCTCTTCTGACTGGACACTTACGTTCTTTCCATATTTGAGAACCATTTTTTCAGCATTTATGTGATCCACAAAATTAGGATGATGCTTTCTTCTCCGATAATCCTCTTCAGTAAATGGAACCTCGGAATCATCCTGCGAGAGAGAAACGGCCCAGACTTCACAAAGACAAGTTCGTTTAAGCTCAGTCAAAACTGAAAACTCCAGCTTATCATCGGCAGCATCACTATGGTTGACAATAATTCAGAGTGTATTTCCACATAGTTAGTAGAGAGGATTTTGCATATTCCCAACATAGTGTTTGAGTTGATGGCTATACCAATTACCTGACCCAATCACTAGACAGCAAATACACGGCTTGAAATGGACTTCATAAATGGATACAAGTACATGTGTCAATTAAAATAAAAAAAAACTGTTTAATAGTGATTTAATGTTCTCCAAAGTGCTTTAGTTAATTTTTTTTCTTTTTTGAGATAGGACTCTTAAGATGTAGTTCAGGCTGGCATACAAGTCCTCGTGCAGCCCAAACTAGCCCAAGCTGCTGAGCTGCCCAGCCTCCTGAGTGCTGGGATTACAGGCATGTACTACTGTACTCGATTCAATGTCCATTTTCAGGTTGTAGTAGGGTTTTTTGCTCTTTTCCACACTGCTGCCTCCACTCTCCAGTCAACCATGTTAATAAAGACAGAGCACTTGCCTAGCATGCAGGAGGCTCTTAGTACCAGCCTCAGCACAATAAGTAAATAACAAATAAATAAATCCATGGGCAAGATGATGCTGAGACTTCAAAACTGCTTACTTTTTTTTGGGGGGGGGTCCGGTCGTGGGGCCTGAACTCTGGGCCTGGGCGCTGTCCCTCAGCTCTTCAGCTCAAGGCTAGCGCTCTACCACTTGAGCCACAGCGCCACTTCTGGATTTTTTCTTTTGCTTATGTGGTGCTGAGGAATCGAACCCAGGACCTCAGGCATACAAGGCAAGCACTCTACCACTGAGCCACCTTCCCAGCCCCTGCTTACTTGTTTTTAAAGCCCAGACATTTAAAAAATGTAAATAAAACCTTAATATTTAAGAAACAACAACAAAAAGAAGTTTTATAAATAAAACCTTAACATTAAAAAACAACCAAGCCAGGTGCTGGTGGCTCACACCTGTAATCCTAGCTGTAATCCTATTCAGGAAGTTGAGCTCTGAGGATCAGGGTTCAAAACCAGCTAGGCAGGAAAGTCCATGAGAAGTTAATTTCCAATTAACCACCAGAAAATTTGAAGTGGCACTGTGACTCAAAGTGGTAGAGCACTAACCTTGAGCACAAAAGCTCATGGACACCACCCAGGCCCTGAGTTTACGACCAACAAAAACAACGAAAAAGATTTGTAAATAAAATCTTTGTTGTTGTTGTTGTTATTGTCAGTCATGGGGTTTGAACTCGGCCTAGGCACTGTCCCTCAGCTCTTCAGCTCAAGGCTAGCACTCTACCAATTGAGCCATAGCGCCACTTCCAGTTTTCTGGTGGTTTATTGGAAATAAGAGTTTCACAGGACTTTCCTGCCCAGGCTGGCTTTGAGGTGCAATCCTCATATATCAGCCTCCTGAGTAGCTAGGATTATAGGCGTGAGCCACCAACATCTGGCTAAAATCTTAACATTAAACAATAAGAACAAAAACCTTGGGACAACACCAAGGTCCAAAGTTTAACACCTAGGACTGCCATGAGAAAACAAACAAAACAGCTGGGCACTGGTGGCTCATGCCTATAATACTAGCTACTCAGGAGGCTGAGATCTGAGGATCTCGGTTCAAAGCCAGCCTTGGGCAAGAAAGTCCGTGAGACTCTCATCTCCAATAAACCACTAGAAAACTGGAAGTGGTGCTGTGGCTCAAGCAGTAGTGTGCTCGCCTTGAGCTGAAGAGCAGAGGGACAGTGCCCAAGCACAGAGTTCAAGCCCCATGACCGACCCCTCCCAAAAAAAAGAAAACAAATAAAACAAAGCCAAAAAACCCCACTGCTTATTAAAAAGTTAAGTTGATTTTGGTTTATCTTTTCTTTTTTATTTTCAGTGCTAAGCTGGAACCCAGGACCTCCTGTTAGGTAGGTGCTCTACCACCAAGTTGCATCCTAGCCCTCACGCTGGAGAGACATTTCTGACAGCCCACTGTGTTGTGTGTGCATCGCATTTAGTCTCTCCACAGCTCACAGAGAAATGCATATGAAATAACCAACTTACCATCTATTCAAGAATCAAAGAGGGAAATGGAGAGCCTTGCCTTAGACAGTCTCTAAACCCATTCTCATGTAGAGGTCCTTCAGAGAGCAGGACTTTAAAGCTAAAGTGATCTTTATGGACCCTGTCCATCAGAGCACTTTGGTCCAAGTTAAGTCACCATAGCCCATGAGCCCAGAGTTTTCTGGAAATGAATCCAAGGGGCAGCGGAAACACAGGGCAAGGACATTGGTGAGGTACACAATTGCACTCATGAGTGCAAGAGAAGGAAGCCCTGGATGATGGCCAAGCTGAGAGCTCTTGAGTTCCTGGAACCTTGTGGCAGCTCTGTCCAAGCTGGTAGGCAAGAGCCAAAGGACTGGGGTTTGCTGGCCATGCTGAGTGGAAGGTTTTAAGCTTCTCAAATGGGGCTGACACATGAACTGCTCCATAACACCATCTCCTACAATGCAGTGGAGGATGGATTGGAAGGAAGCAATGGCAGCCAATAGGATTTTATCAGTCAAGGGAACGGAGTGCTGAGGCTTGGGCTGCAGAGTTGCCATGGCTACAAAGAGAACCAGTTGGGATTATGGTCCATTTCAGATGATGGATCTACAGCATTTACTGAAGGATGGATGGATGGAAAGCAGCAGGAGACCAACTACTCAGAGGGGGATGGTGCCCTTGCAAGAAAGACAGGGAACTGCCTGCTAAGCAGACATAGTAGATACTTGTGGATACAGATTGTAAACCAGATGCAACTACAGAGTGTTCATTGTTCTGAGCTGGATAGGGAAGACACTATTCCCAAACTCTGATTTTGATGAACCATCACCTATCAGTCAGGCGCCTTCCTACCAGGAAGGAAACAGCTTCATTCAAAGTGAGTAATTTGAGGAGGGCTTAACAACAGGGCTATTTACAAAGCCTTGGGCAGGGTGTGGGGAAGCCACACAGCCTAGATCTGGGAACAGCATACTCCATTCCGAGGTCCAAGAGTGTCAAGGGATGAAGTGATCATCAGAGCTGGAGACCAAGTTAGGTGCCTGCCTTGAGCAGTGGCTTGGCCTGAAGATGGCCCAGTAGCATTGTTGTAGAAGAGAGCCGGCATAGACACCGTGACCTCATCCATTTCCGTTCTTCTACCTTCATATCAGGGATCCGCATTGGCAAGCGCCAGTTGAGAGCAAAGGACTGGGCAGAGTGGGGAATACAGGGGTAGATCTGCAAGGGCAGACAGAAAACCCAGAACACAGCCATTTTAGTAGCTTGGGTAGTCTTTGTCTTCTCAGCACGACCCAGGGAAACTCTTGGCTTTTTATCATCACAATCTGTTGTAGGCAATTCCAAATTTCTACTGACCCAAGGCATGGAGTATCTACCACCTTCAGGGGGTGCTAGAGTTACCTCAGTTGGAACACTGTTAAAGACTGGCATTGCACATCAGGTCTAACCACAGGGCTGCTGTGAGGCCACTTTTCACCGTAACAGAGTTGAAGACACAACTTTTATAAGGTCATGAGTTAGTGATTCTTTTCCCCCAACTTAGTGGTGCCTGCTTTATGTAGAACTAGTTTCTTTAATGGCTACCATTTCTTGGATTATGACAAGAACACGGAGGTAGAGAAGGGAAGACAGAAAGTGAAAAGGTTTTTCTAGGTTACCCGGAGCTCTTTAGTTCCTGGAACCTCATGGCAGCTCTGTCTGTGGATTGTGTAAGAGTGTTTTTTTTTTTTTACATTTATCGCGATTCCTCTTTCTGATTAAGGGAGCTCTGGCAAGATTCTGTTGTTTGAAAACAAAGAACCTGTTCAGATCACCCTGCCTTCAAATGGATGCCAGCGGCCTCCCCTAGACTTGTTGGGGACAAGCATGTTTGTGTCTTATAGAGCTAATCTTCTCCATCTACTACCTCCCCACCTGTGTCCTCAAGTGTTGTACTACTTCAGCCATACCTTCAGAACCTCCTTCGATTATTTCAAAGCAAAATTCAAACAGGATCATTTTTTTTTTTTGTCGGTTGTGGGGCCTGAACTCTGGGCCTGGGCGCTGTCCCTCAGCTCTTCAGCTCAAGGCTAACGTTCTACCGCTTAAGCCACAGCACCATTTCCGGCTTTTTCTGCTTATATGGTGCTGAGGAATCGAACCCAGGGCCTCATGCATGCAAAGCAAGTGCTCTACCACTGAGCTACCTTCCCAGCCCCATCAAACAGGATCATTTTACCCAAGGATATATCATTAATCTCATTACAGATGAATTAATCAGCTCTTCAACTATTTAACATTATTAGTTCTGGCCTATGAAATCTATCCCTATATATTCTGTAAACTGTAATAGTTAAAATTTCACTTTTCAGTTTATGTATAATCTATCTGGCATTGGCTTTTTGTGTGGAGAGAGAGAATTTGGGAGAAAGGTGACAGAACTGTTCTATTTGTTTATGTACTTATTTTTTTGAAACAATGTTTTGCTGTGTAGCTCAGGCTGTCCTTGAACTCAATCTCCTGCTGTCTTAGCCTTTTGACTGCCAGGTTGCCTGAATTGCCACACCAGGCAAAATGACCATGATTGCCGTGGTTGTTTCATAACTATGCATTTGTCTAAACTCATAGAGCTATATAGTTCATCATTTTACTGTATAGATTACAACTTAATAAATGTGATTTTTAAAACTCATTCTTAGCCTTCTAGCCTCCTATGGCACTATGCCAAAATGCTAGCCTGCTGCATATATAAATGCAATTTATATCATGTCAATCATGTTATCAATGATACCTTACTGTTTGTAAATATCTGACTGTGCTTTGAATTGGTGGATTTATTAATGCTGAGACCACACACACACGCGTGTGCACACACACACACACACACACACACACACATACACACACACACTGAGAAACAGTACAACCCAGACAGCAGTCAGTTTTGTGAGAATATAAAGATAACCCAATGGGAAGACCAGGTGACTAAAAACCCAAACCGCCAGTTGTCTTCTGATCAGTAAATCAAATCACAGAAATATAAGAAATATGAGAAAGCTAGGAAATATAACACCTCCACAAATCAGCAATTACATAGACAGACACACACACACAGACACATACACACACAACACAATTAGAATGACTGCAAAGGGGAGAGCACCTCACATGCCCAGTTCAAAGGAATGATGATCAGAATGTCCAACTACATGAAAGAGAGCACTTATAAGCAATAGATGGAAACAAAGGGAACACAGTTAACAGAAGTCAATGAGAATACAGATTAGAAAGCTAAATGAATGCCAAGCAAATGCAAATAAAAGAGAATACAGCTAAACAATTAAACAGGATAAGGGAAGATGAAGATAAACCAAAAAAATGGGGTAAAAAAAGTCAGTGCATACCTGTAACCCTAGCAACTCAAGAGGCTGAGATCTGGGGATTGAGAGTCAAAACCATCCTGGGCAGGAGGTCCATGAGACTCTTTTTTTTTTTTAATTTTTTTTGGGGGGTCTGGTCGTGGAACCTGAACTCTGGGCCTGGGCGCTGTCCCTCAGCTCTTCAGCTCAAGGCTAGCCCTCTACCACTTGAGCCACAGCGCCACTTCTGGCTTTTTTCTTTTTGCTTACATGGTGTTGAGGAATTGAACCCAGAGCCTCAGGCAT